TATACCAAAAAGTTTTGCATTTCCTCAACCTTTCCAACACCGTATCATTTGCTGCATTCGAACGTACGGTTAAAAAATAGATCGAAAATACGAACTCGGTGGAACTTGTACCGTTTTCTAGATTGCTCTTAAACCGTTCAAAATTAGAAAAAACTTTCTACATGAAAAAGTAGCGCATTTTCATAAGCTTTCCAACGCATATCATTTGCCTCAATTGGATTAGTCGTTTAGAAATGACATCAAAAATATGAACTCGGCTGTTCGGTTTGCGATATTTTACGATTTTCCAAATTACTCTTTAACCGTAGGGAATTAGAGAAAACTTTCAACATGTGGAAGGAGCGGTTTTGCAGCAGCTTTTGAACGACATATTATTTGCCTCATTTTGATAAACGGTTTAGAAATGCGATCGAAAATACGATTCACGTTTTTTGTATGAAGAAAAAACAGTTTTCAAAATTGCTCTTAAACTCTTACATTTTGCCAAAAATTGAACTTGGGTTATGATACTAGTGTCCATAGCTTTCCAACGGTATATTGCAAGCCCCATTTGGGCAATGTTGGTGGAAGTTCAACCTAGCACTAGGAGAAGTTCAGGTCGAACAACTCAAGCAGTGAAATTGCAAAAAATGCAATTTCATCACGACCTGAGAGCAAAATCCGCCAATGAGCGAGATTCCTACTTAAAACCGGTATTTAGTTGCTAAAAGACGTTTCTAGATTACACTAACATCATATAGAACACGACTAACAGGAATAATTCGTGGGGGAAGCCACGGTTGCGAAGATAGCCCGAAGGTCGGGTTTGTACAGAGGGAAGTTCACGCGCGTTACTCAGGCAGTTCAGGTTGTGATCAGAATATTATTCTGATCCCGTGATCAGAATAGTGTTTGTGTGTGTGTGTTGTTATGTATGCAATCCCATCGCACAACACACATGTCTTATTAGCAACAATCGTCTGCGTTATTACCGGTCTTCGCACACATTTCTGATTACACACCTGTTTGCCGCATATCACACACATCTTGTTATATTGAACCGTTTATGTTCTCTTGTCTCAACGCAAACAGTTTATCCGAGTGAACCGCATGCCGTATATCGCACCGACCTTGATCTGGCTGATTCTTTTGTCTTGCCTAATCACAAACGGTTTATTCGAGTGAATCGTATGCTGTATATCGCACGCACCTTCATCTGGATGCCCGTTGCTTTTGTTCTTCCTCATCGCAAACAGTTAGTTGAACTGAACCGTATGCCATGCATCGCACACGCAACTAAAATCTGAATCGTGTTTGATGCATCCTTCATCGCAAATGTTTTGCACCTTTTTTGACGGTTTTTACACCATCGTTTGGGATTATTGCATCGCACACAGTTTCGTCGAAGGGTCCCTGATCGTAGTGTCGCGTTCGTAGCATCCTGCAGTAGTGCTTGATGACTTCTGGGATAGTGAAAAGGACTGGCATGGAAAATTATTGATGAGCTCAGTTTACAAGATGGTTGTTAAGACAAAGATACAAAGGGAGAATTGGTTGTAAAATGTTGAAGGCCCCTCTGACACAGGAGCTGATAAGTCATCGACGTCCTTGTGGAACATTAGAGTGCCTTCAAAACTGGAAAACTTCTTGTGGAGATTGGTCAGGACTCGCTACAATCCGCTGACGTTTTGCACCATCGTAACATGTCCACAACATGTGGGCGTTCTTTATGTGCACCTGAGGATAATTGGATGCATGCCTTGATCGAGTATGAGAGGTGTGGTGTGTCTGGTCACTCTCATCTAAAGATATGGTGGAACATATGTGTGCTAACCAAGAGATGAATGCAAAATAGTGGTTGTCTATGATGCATGAGACTCTTACACATGTGGAGTTTACAATTTTGGTGGTGACAATGTGGGTGATTTGGTGAGCCAGGAGAAAGGCTATTCATGAGGACATATTCCAAAGTCCCTTGTCAACCCAGTTTTTTCATTTCATCATTCACTCTTGACATCCAAATTTTGGCGAAACTTATACGGGGTTCGAGTCGAAGCGCAATAATTAAACCTTCTTCATGGTTAGGTATGCCAGTGGAACACATGAAAATTAACACAGATGCTTCTGTCATTAGGAACGAATGTTATGGAGTAGTGGCTGTTGTGTGACGAGACTATGGGGTAGTTCCTGGGTGCGTCGTCCACCACCTTTCGAAATATTTCGAACACTGTTACACTTGAAGCTTTGGCACTTAGAGAGGCATTGGAGATTGCAGACAATCTTTATCTGCAAAAGATACGTGTGGCTTTAGATTGCAAGACAGTGGTGGACGATATTAAGCAGGGATCTTCAACGACACTTGGATCTATCATACATGAAAGAATAGAACATTCTACTACTTTACTGCTTGTAACATAGTTCATCAGTTTAGGAACTCGAATATCTAGGCTCAAAATCTCTCTAAGCATGCTTTATCACTTCGGTTTGCTCACCATGTGTGGTTGGATCTACTTGGTGATCTATTTTTGTATACCTGTAAACATTTTCATGAATAACACTTCGCAATAATGTCTCAAAAGAAGTTATCCAGTATACTAATCCAACGCTATTTAGCTTGACATATCCAAATTTCGGTTGAAGATTTGATATATTATAAAAACTCCCTGAAACTTTCAGTAAGCACTACATGTTTCTAGTAGTAAGCCCATTTGGACAACACTATGAGGAGATAATGGCTATTAAGCTAGACATATATCCAATTTTGTGTTCAAAATTTTATAGCTATGAAAAACATCCCCAAAACATCACTAAATACTACTCCCTCTGTAAACTAATATAAGATTTTTCACTTATTTGGACGATAATATTGGGAGTAATGGCTATTTTGCTAGACAATCCAAATTTTGATTCAAAATTTGATATTTAAAAAGAAAAATTTACATTTATGCCCCTAATTTGCACCCACTCTCATATTTACCCCTAACTTTTTGATGTGCTCAAATTTGCCCCTAAAATGCATTTCACGTCACGAGAATGGCCTTCCAACTATTCAAAGTTGCTTGATCGAAACTTTGAAAATCAATAGCAAATTCATATGAACTTAGGAGGATACAAATAAGATATCAAAATGTTCATAAAAATATCACCTATACACACATGTCATTTACGTTCATCACCTACAAGTGCTATTATTTGCATTCACCCTAAATAGTTTTTTTAATATTATAAACCCTAAAAAGCTTTAAAGAGTGCTTTGTCATGAACATAAATGACAAGTGCATATAGGTGATGTTTTTATGAACATTTTGATATCTTATTTTGCATTCTTCTGAGTGCATATGAATTTGTTATGAATTTTTAAAGTTTCGGTCAAACAACTTTGACCAGATGGAAGGGCATTCTTTCGATCTAAAGTGCTTTGTAGGGGCAAATTTGAGCACATAAAAAATTTAGGGGTAAATTTGAGTAGTGGGTTCGAGTTAGGGGCACAAATATAAATGTCCCTTTGAAAAAACTAGTAAATACTACATGTGTCCAGTAGTAATCTAGGAAATTTGAGCTTATCAGAGGTGTGCAGATTTAGGAGATAATAACTATTTTCTAAACAGATCAAAATTTTAGTTTATTATTTGATATTAATGAAGGGAGACAAAGCTACATGGGGTTTGCTGTAAAAAACATTTACTTTACTTACGGTTAACTTTGAGACCACCCCATTTTCTTCTTGGATTTGCCACTACCTATGAGCACCTCGAGATACTAAGTCCGTAAATTTTGAGTTTGACAAAGTTACCATACACACGTTGTAGTCTACGCTCGTATTATCAATGCTGAAATAAATCCAAATAAAGGCGCGCACATGTGCCAAATTTAAGATACAAATTAAGTCGTACAAACATGCATAAGTCATATGTAAGTCCATCCCACTTAGAGGTTGATGTGAAAATTTATGTTCTCGGAACCATTTAAAAAATTCCTCACTATTAGTTGTAAAATGGATAAGTATTTAAAACTGAAACTAAGGTGTTATTTGTAGTTGGGCTTCAGGTCTGTTTTCTAAAGAATAATCAATGCAACACCATATTCCGAAATAAAAAGTGCAGGAAATGCTTTCTCATTTGATTTGTCTATGTGTGTATGACAGATGTGGGTATCTAATATGGGTTGCCTAGCTCACCAACTGTTGTTGGACAACTCGATCAAGCTAAGAGGCTTTGCTTGTGCTTATCTTCTTAAACCCCATCTTATTAATTGATAAGTTTATCAAGACGAGAAGAATAATGGTGTCTACCATTTGCTTTTCCCTAACCGGCCAACGTAACTGAATGATGCCTTCTCTAAGGCCCACTTCACATTTAATTTTGGTGACAATGATTGTGGTATGGTCCAAACATTGCGAATTTTTTGGATTTTCATTCATTCGAAATTTCCAACAAATATGCACAACCAGTTAAAGGCATCTCTAATACTCCCTCTGTTCATAAATATAAGTTGTTCTGGTTTTTCTGTGAATATAATCATGTTTTATTGTGTTTGTTCATTCATTTAAGTCCTTATGTAGTTCATATTAAAATAATTTAAAACATATTATATTTGTGAACGGAGGGTGTAGCTTGTAATTTACTTTGGTCATGAAAATGTACTCCCTCTTGTCGGGTGCATAAATCGGACTCCTAGGTGAGTAAGCACGCGTGTGTTCTGTTAGTGGTAGATAATCGCGCATGATTATCGTTGTAAGCCAAAAGATGTTAGAAAAGAAAAAGACACTGTACTACCAGCTCTTGTACCCATGATTGGCCGCAAAAATGCGCGGTCAGTTCTGTGCGCACCACACCGACTCTACATTTAAATACGGCCAAAGAGGAGTAAAGCAAAGACAGTGGGGCCACGAGAATTGCCCGATACCAAACCTCCCTTTATAAGTTGCAGCCCGAGTCTACCGTGACACGCGACGCTCGCTCTCCTCCAGCAGCGAAGCATTGTCATACACAAAAGCATCTACAGGTCCAGAGTGACAGAGAATGGGAAGATGCCTCTCTTTTCTACTCCTCCTGGGCGTCGCGCTTAAGCTCGCCGGCCCGGCCAACGGCGACATGTCGGCGGCGTTCGCCGGTACAGGGGCGGCGTACAGCATCGACGGCGCGGTGCGGCAGCTGATGTCGCCGCCGTTGATGAAGCTGGAGGACGGCGTGGACCCTGAGCTCAGTATCGACCTGGAGGTGCACCGCCGCGTCCTCGCCGGCATCAGCCCCGGTGCCCTGAGCCGCAACAGGCCCGCCTGCCCCGGCGCGTGCCCGGCTCCCGGAGGATCGTACACCAACCGGGGATGCCAGAAGAAGTACCAGTGCCGTGGCTGAATGGAGCAGCAGAGCACTCTGGCCGGCAACCTCCTGCACGCGTGCACGTTCGACCGGCGTAAATTTTCATTTCACATTTATATTTCGTTCCGCTATCTTGGAATAATGTGGCAGTCTTGTTGGAACAATTGTGACGTGATATCGATTGTTCTTGTTCACAGAAACATGGCGTCGATAATTTTGACTTTAGGCCATCTTCAACACACACCCGTCGTGGATACGGATGTAGGAGTCAGCCACCCAACACTACTTACATACATTAAAATACTATTTAAATAAATCAGAAGAATTTCATCAGATACGACAGATTTCATTAAAGTTCTGACATAAACCCTATACCGGGCGACCATCTTGTACGCGTGGCCACACAGCCGTCGCCGTTCGTGTCGTCGTCGTCCCTCCAACGGCGAAAGAGTACCAGAGGGCCGCGGCAGCCTTGTCCGATGGCTGTTTGCTGCTCGTGAAGGAGCTACTCAGCCTCCTCCTGGGTAGTGTGGAGGACTGACCCGACCAATGCAAATGACGCTCGCGAAGCTCTGATGACGGGCTTGCCCCTGCCGACATTGGTGAAGGAGTCGCTATGCGCCCATTCCTCGTGGATCCTAGCAAGCTAGCTGTCAAAGGTGGTGGGGACACCGGCGGTCGTCTCTGCTGTCGCGATGAATCGGTCGAGCGCCCACGCGGTGGCGAGGTCTGAGTCATTGCGGACCTGCGTCGAACTTGGTGAACACCGACCGGCGGACGGTGTTGCGCCGGTTGTACCGTGACTGCCGCCTCGCTGTGCTCCTCCTCGAAGACAACGTACCGCCGACCCCGCCACCTCTGAGCTAGTGGAGGATGGGGCCCCGCGCCTTCGTTGTCACGGTGGCATCTCCTCCTTGATGGGGCGGCGGTTGTAGCGGGGCGGCGACATGGGCCCATCGATGCGAGCGTACTGGTTGCATGCCGACGGTGACACTGGCTCATCCTTGACGTAGTGTCCGATCCCGACACCATGGTTGCACGGGGCAATGCCGACTCCTTGATGCGGCGCCCAATCAGGCTGTCGCCGCAGTTGCGCGCGCGTGGGTGGGGGGCTCCTCCTTCACCCGCTGGAGAGGGGGCGCCGGCTCCAGCTTCACGCGGTAGCACGGCAAGGACGGTGGCTCCTCCTTGACTCGTGTCAGCGGCAATGGTGGTGTTGGGCCTATCTGACGAAGCAAACGCTCCGTCATGATCTTCATATGACGGACGGATTCTTCATCCGTCAGAGCGGCCTCAACGAGAAGGCGGGGCCGCTAGTGCGACGTCTAGTCTTCCTCATCGCCGAAGGAGATGATGATCTCCTCCTTACTGGAGGAGCCGACCGCCATGGATGCCGATGGGCCCGAAGAGCGAGCATGGTGGCGCCCAAATCCGCCTGATGATGAACCGCCACCGTCACCGCCTCCACCTGCCGGCACGGAGAACCATGACTTCGGCATCTTCGCGGGAGTTGAAGGGGCTCGAATAGGACAAAGTGTGGCCATGCATCGCCGGCGCGTGGCTTAAATAGCCGCTGCCAGTTCTTGCGAAGGGCCGACCAATCGCTTCAATGCGACGCATCTGCCGGAGTTGGTTCGTCAGGAAGCTGCGTCCACAATGAAGCAGTGACTCCTGAGAGGTCGTGTCGGTCAACGCCGCCACCCGTCCGGTCACATCAATCAGCATTATTGTCGGCCATTGCATGCTCTAAACCGGCATGAATGTTGCGCGGGAAGCGGCATGTGCATTGGACAGAAAGCGCGGGGAGTCAGGAAAGGGTTTTCTGGTGGGCCAAATTAGTTAGACGAGAGCGTGGCAGCGAACGGACCTGTGGACTAATACAGACCCGTATTGAACGACAAAACATCGTTCGAACCGCACAATCCGAATGCTTGGGGCTGTTTACTTTAGATTTCTCAACACAAGTGTACTTATCCTTCACCCGAAAAAAAGGTGTGCGTCCCTATTGCTTGAAAAAAAAAACACTGCAATTGGGCAAAGGAGGTAGTTTTCTTTTGAGGGCTAGCAAAGGAGGTAGTTGAACTGCAGAAGATTGTGTCGGCCAAATCTTGAAATAGGGACGCCCGGCTGCTGCCCCACTCACGTCATGCTTTGTGTGCTGCGGGCATTCACACAACTTTTCCAGCGCATGACAAATTGACGAGCAAGCACTTCTGAGAACCCATCAATCGCTTTCTTTTTCTTTTACGTTTCCTTTTGTTTTTTCCTTTTTTTATTTATAATTTTCCTTTTTCACTTTTCTGAATACTTTTTTGAAAACATGAACATTTCTAGAATTCGTAAATTTGTTTTTGAAATCACAAACAATTTTCCAATTAGCGAATATTTTTTACCAATTCGCCAATATCTTTTCAATTTGTGATTTTTTTAATCCATGAACTTTTTTACAAATTCACGAACATTCTTCGTAACTCGTGGACCTTTTTTGAATCGATGATTTTTTTGAAATTTGGGAACGTTTCTTTAATTCGCAAACATTTTTTTGTTTTCATGATTTTTCTGAAATGCATGCTCATTTTCTAAATTCATGAGCATGTTTTGAATCATCAAAAAAATTCTGAAAAGTTAAAGTTTTTTTCGAAATTTGGGAACAATATTTGAAATTTTCGAACTTTTTTGTTTCTGTTAACATTTAAAAGAATTAATAGACATTATTTGAATTGTTTTAATACGCATCATTGTTCAAAATTTTGATTTTTTTGAATATGTGAATATTTTTTCAATAATCACAAACATTTTTTGAATGCACGAACATTTTATGAGTTTTCTTTGAAAACCATGAACAGTTTTACTTTCGAATTTTGGATTATTTAATGATTTCTTGAACATTGTTTTCCAAAATTCTCAATTATTTAGATTTTTAAAAAAATAAATACCAAATTATTTAATAAAATAAAACTAAAAGAAAAAAAGAAAAAGAAAAAAAACAGGGGGTGTCCCGCCCTGCGCATTGGGCCGGACAACAAGGCGTTGGGTGGCGCATAGGAGCTCCCGAGCCCAAGTGGACGCGAACGTGTCATTGGGACAAACGAGCTATGAGCTCGAGTTGGGAATTTCCTATTCGCCGCTTATTGCCGCAAGTTGTCGCCCTTTCGCACAGGGCGCAGATCACCCTGGGCCGGCCCATTTGCAGTCGTTTCCCTTCTCGCGAGATTAAAAACAGCAAAAACAGATTGCGCTAGGGATCGAACCCTGCACCTTCTGTACATGTACGCACCGCGCTAGCAACCCCGACTGACCCAATCAAGTTGACAAACAATAACGGGCAACCTAGAAAAACAAACAGCAGCGACAAAACTTAAAACCAGTTCATGGAATTTTCCAAAAATCTTTTGTTCCTTCTACTGGTTCTTTTCTTTCTTTGGTTTTTTATTTCCTATTCTTTTCTTCTCTTTTTTTCAAAAAAAAATCGAAATTTTAAATTTTGTTTGAGTTTCCAAAAGAGTTCAGTTTTTGAATTTTTTTCTAAAATTCAAAAATTGTTCTCATTACAGATAACTAATAGATTTTTGCAATAAGTATATGAGTTTTTTATGATTAATGTTGAGTCCACGGATTATACGCACTCTCACCCTTTCACCATTGCCAGACTCTCTTGTGTCGCGCAACTTTCGTCGGTACCATACACTCATCATTACCTTCCTCAAAACATCCATCATACCTACCTACTATGGCATTTAGCCACTCCGAGATATATTGCCATGCAACTTTTCACCGTTCCGTTTATTATGACACGCTCCATCATTGTCATATTGCTTTGCATGATCATGTAGTTGACATCGTATTTGTGGCAAAGCCACCATTCATAATTTTTTTCATATATGTCACTCATGAGTCATTGCACATCCCGGTACACTACCGGAGGCATTCATATAGAGTCATATTTTGTTCTAGTATCGGGTGGTAATTCTTGAGTTGTAAGTAAATAAAAGTGTGATGATCATTATTATTACAGCATTGTCCCATATGAGGAAAAGATGATGGAGACTATGATTCCTCCACAAGTCGGGATGAGACTCTGGACGAAAATATAAAAAAATAAAAAAAAGGCCATAAAAAGGCACAAATAAAAAATAAAAAAAAATAAAAAAATAAGAGAAAAAGAGGGAAGGGGCAATGCTACTATCCTTTTACCACACTTGTGCTTCAAAGTAGCACCATGATCTTCATGATAGAGAGTCTCCTATGTTGTCACTTTCATATACTAGTGGGAATCTTTCATTATAGAACTTGGTTTGTATATTCCAATGATGGGCTTCCTCAAAATGCCCTAGGTCTTCGTGAGCAAGCAAGTTAGATGCACACCCACTTAGTTTTTTTGAGCTTTCATACACTTATAGCTCTAGTGCATCCGTTGCATGGCAATCCCTACTCACTCACATTGATATCTATTGATGGGCATCTACATAGCCCATTAATACGCCTAGTTGATGTGAGACTATCTTCTCATTTTTGTCTTCTGGACAACCATCATTCTATTCCACCTATAGTGATATGTCCATGGCTCACGCTCATGTATTGCATGAAGATTGAAAAAGTTTGAGAACATCAAAAGTATGAAACAATTGCTTGGCTTGTCATCGGGGTTGTGCATGATTTAAATATTTTGTGTGATGAAGATAGATCATAGCCAGACTATATGATTTTATAGGAATAGCTTTCTTTGGCCATGTTATTTTGAGAAGACATGATTGCTTTGTTAGTATGCTTGAAGTATTATTATTTTTATGTCAATATTAAACTTTTATCTTGAATCTTATGGATCTAAATATTCTTGCCACAATAAAGAAGATTACATGATAAATATGTTAGGTAGCATTCCACATAAAAAAATTATTTTTATCATTTACCTACTCGAGGACGAGCAGGAATTAAGCTTGGGGATGCTGATACGTCTCCAACGTATCTATAATTTTTGATTGTTCCATGCTATTATATTATCAGTTTTGGATGTTTATGGGCTTTATTATACACTA